GGAAACTGAAATGCAAAGAGGTAAAAGGAAAATATGGAACAGAATATCAGGGAATTGTGATAGTTACAACACATGGCATGTATGCATAATGGTGGTACCGGAAGGAGTACAAGAGAAAGGGACAGAAGAAATATTTGAATAATGATGGCATTTTCTTCCCAAAATGTATGATGGATCACAAAGTGCAGATTGAAGATGTTTACAGAGCACCAACGAAAAGGAATACCAAAAACCTACACTTAATCATATGATACTCAACCTGTAGAAAGTCAAAGATAGATTCTTGAAGGAAGCTGGCATGGGGGACAGATACATTACCTACAGAGCCACAGAGTTAAAAATGACATTGAACTTATTGGAAACCATGAAAGAAGGAAAACAGGGAGTGGAATATTAAAGCTTGCAGATAAAAGTAACCACCCACTAGAATTCTGAATCCAGTGAAATTATCTTTCAAAAGTTGAAGGAGAAATAAAAACAGAGGGAATTTCTTGCCAGCAAACCTGTCTTGCAAGAAATGTTGAAAGTAGGAAAATAATAGAGGTCACAAAGTCAGATTTACATAAAGAATGGATGAACATTAGAGAAGGAATAATTCAAGATCTTTTATATTTATCATTTTTAATTGGTCTTGTAAGTAACAGTTTGTTTACTATCATAACAGCAACATTGTATCCAGCCATTGTAGCTTATGGCTAAGTGACATGGATGGTGGCGATACTATGTGGGAAGGGAAGGAGAAATTGAGAACACTCTGTTATTAAGATATTTCCACTTTATTTTTATTTGAAAATGGACTTGGAATGGTTGTGAATGTATATTATGAACTCTAGAACAACCAGCAAAAAAAATTTTAAAAAGAAATATAATGGATATTCTGAGAGGAGAGAAAATGAAATAGTATGGAATGCTCAACTAAAACCAGATAAGGCAGAAAAAGAAAGAGAAACAAGGGGACTGAATAGAAAATCGTTACAAACATGGCGGATAGGGGCACTTGGGGGGCTCAGTCAGCTGAGCATCCGACTCTTGGTCTTGGCTCAGGTCATAATCTCAGGGTCCTGAGATTGAGCCCTCTGTCAGGCTCCACACTCAACACAAAGTATGCGTGGGATTCTCTCTCTCCCCCTTTCCCTCCCCCTGCTCTTGCACTCTAAATAAATAAAAAATAGATAAATATCTTTTAAAAATCCAATGGCTGATATAATTCAAGTGTATCAAAACTCATGTTAAATGTAATGTTCTAAATATAATTGGTGGAGCTGCGCCAATTGAAAGACAAACTACCAGAGTGGGTGAAGAAACAAGATCCAAATATATAGGTTTTGTAAAAGAGTCCCACTTTGTTTTACTTATTTATTTATTTATTTATTTTTAACTAGGCTCCACACCCAGTGTGGAGCCCAACACAGGGCCTGAACCCACAACCCTGAGATCAAGCCCTGAGCTGAGATCAAGAGTTGGATGCTCAACCCACTGAGCCACCCAGGCACCCCAGGACTCCCACTTGAAATGTAAAGACCCGGATAGATCAACTGTAATGGGAAAAAGAAAGATCCATCACGTCGATATTCATTAAAAGAAAGTTCGAGTAGCCACGTTAATTTGAGGCATTAGGGGCCGTTACATCCTTATAGAGGATTGGCTCCTTTATCATTATATAATAATGTAGTAATTATTATTGTATTAATTATATAATTATAGGGGGCCCCTAATGTGTGTAAACCCAAGCGTGTCAGGATCTGGGAGGACAGAGTGGTGTTGCCGAAGGAGAAGAAGGTGCATCCAGTCCCCCTTTCAGTAACCGACAGAACCCATAGGCAGAAAATGGGTCAGGGTAGAGTTGAACCAAGCAGCACATTAATCAGCTGGACCTGATTGACATTTCTAGAATATTCTGTTCAAGAACAGCAGCATGCCCTTTCTTTTCAAGCTCACATGGAAAATTCATCAAGATAGACCACATTCTGGGCTGTAAAGTACACCTTAACATTTTTAGAGAACATGCAAAATACTGCCCTCAGAGGACAATAGAATTAAGCTAGAAATAATAGAAAGACAGCTGGAAGATCCCCAGATATTCAGGGATTAAACAAGACACTTCTAATTAGCATACAAATCAAAGAATAAGTTGGACTCCATTAAAATAAAAACAAAGTCTGCTCTGTGAGGGACACTGAATGGACTGAACACACAAGCCACAGATCGGGAGAAAATAGTTTCAAAACACGTATCTGATAAAAGACTGGTCTCCAAAAGATACAAAGCACCCAAGAATAAGAAAATAAATTAGAATGTGGTCAGAAGGTCTGAAGGCATACCTCACTAAAACAGATGTACAGGGCGCCTGGGTGGCTCAGTTGGTTAGGCGTCTGCCTTCGGCTCGGGTCACGATCCTGGAGTCCTGGGATCAAGCCCTGCATCGGGCTCACCAGCGGAGAGCCTGCTTCTCCCTCTCCCTCTGCCTGCCACTGTGACTATCTGTGCTCTCTCTCTATCTCTCTGTCAAATAGATAAATAAAATCTTTAAAAAAAACAACAACAACAGATTTACAAGATATACAAATAGCACGTGAAAGGACACGCAACATCGTACATCATTGGGGAATTTCACATGTAAATAATGAATATATACACGCCTGTTAGAATGACTAAAATCCCAAATGCTGACAGTGCCAAACACTGGTGAGGATTGAGAGCAACACGAGCCCTTATTTACTGGAAACGCACATGGTATGGCCACTACCAAGGACAGTTTGTGAGTTTCTTAAAAAACTAAACATGGTCTTATGATATCGTGCAGCAATCTTCTCCTGGGTATTTATTCAGATGACCTGAGAACTTACATGCACACACACACACACACACACACACAAACCCTGTAGACTAATGTTTACAGCAGTGTTATTAGTAATTGTCAAAATTTGGAAGCAACAGAGATCTCTTCAGTAGGTGAATGAATAAATAAACTGGGGAGCGTCTAAACAATGGAATATTATTCATCAGTAAGGAACGAGCTATCAGGCTGTGAGAGGACACAGAGGAACCTCAAATGCATATCGCTAATGAAAGAAGCCCATCGGAAAAGGCTGTGTGCTGCGTGATTCCAGCTCTGTGACATTTTGAAAAGGCAAAGATATGCAGACAGTGAAAAGATCGGTGGTTACCAGCGAGGGGAGGAAGGGATGAATAGGGTCAGGGCACAGAGGATCTCTAAGGCGATGAAAGGTTCTCTATGATGCTGTTGATACACGATGCTGTGAATCTGACAAAACACACAGAAATGTACAACACCAAAAGTGAGCTCTAATGTAAAGTATGGACCTAAGGGAATAATAATGTCTCAGTATGGGTTCATGAATTGAAACAAAAGCACCAGAGCAATGCAGGATGGTAAGGATGGGGGAGATTCTGGATGAGAGGCGAGGTAGGGTGTGGGAACTCCACGCACTTTCTGTTCAACTTTCCTGTAAACTGAAGCTACTCTAACAGTTGGAACTCTATTCATTACAAAAATGATTACCTCCCTCTTCCTTTTTTTAATCTTATTTTTCCCCCTCCTCCTTTTTTTTAATCTTATTTTTTCCCCCTCTTTCTTCTTTATGTGGTTCTTTTCTCTTATGCCTAATGGGCATGGGATGAAAAAATGTGGTAGACTTCTAGGTGCAAGGCAGGGTAATTGGAACTGGTCCGTTCGTTAATTCGGGGACCGCTGTAACACGCGGGCTTCTGTTTTATAAAATGGCAGTGAGGCTTTAAAAAAAAAACTGCTGTGTGCATGTCTACCAATGAAAGGAAATAGAATGAAGTACAGATTCATGCTATAACGTGGATGAGCCTTGAAGACATGCCAAGTGACAGAACCCGCTTGCAGAAGTCGTATCCTATATTGTTCAGTTTCTGTAAACTACCCGGACTAGGCAAATCCGCAGAGACGAAAGCTGATAAGTGGTTGCCAGAGACTGGGGGGACAGTGACCAATTTCTGGGAGTGGGATTTCCTTTTGTGGGGTCAAAAACATCACAGACCTGGATAGCGGTGATGGGGGCCCAACATCATAAATGTCCTTCTTACTGCTGACTTTTATACCTTAACGATTGCTAAAATGATAAATTTTATATGATGTGCATTTTACCACCATGGAAAATAAAAGATAGAATAGGGAAAGAAAAAACTAACGAGTGAAATTTTTCCAGAGGCAGTGGTCCAAACCAAAGCCTGGCATTGTCCAGGTGATCCTTGAACAACACGGGTTTGAAGGTTGCGGGTTCACATAGACAGAGATGCTTGCTTTTCAATAAATCCAGGACTGTAAATGTATTTTCTCTTCCTTTTGATTTTCTTAGTAGCTTTTTCTTTTCTCTAGTTTACTTTATTTTTTTTTAAGGTTTCATTTATTTATTTGAGAGACAGAGAGCACAAGCCAGGGGGAGGAGCAGAGGGAGAGGGAGAAGCAGGCTTCCTGCTGAGCAGGGAGCCCAATGCAGGGCTCAATCCCAGGACCCTGAGATCATGACCTGAGCCCAAGGCAGATGCTTAACTGACTGAGCCCCCCAGGCACCCCTAGTTCACTTTATTTTAAGGATACAGCATATTCTACATATAACATACAAAATATGGGTTGATCAGCCATTTGTTATCAGTAATGCTTTCTGCCAACATAGACTGTCAGTAGTTAGGTTTTGAGGGAGTCAAAAGTTAAACGTGGATTTTCTACAGCCCGGGAGTCAGCGCCCCTAACATCCCGTGGTGTTCAAGGGTCAGATGCTTAACCAAGGAGCCCCTGTGTAAGGTTTTCTTTAACATAAAAAGCAACGGTGGCCTCAGAGCCAAGCATAGACACGTGGGATGCTACTCATTCACTGAACCCATTTATGCTCCATTAATCAGTTGCATTAGACAGACTGCAGTGAACCTCTCATGGATGAGCCGGGTTAAAGGAATGGGTGTTTGTCTGGGGAGCCGAATTTTCTGGACTGTGCGGCTGCTTCTCTTTGCAGAGAGGTTGTGGATCTGTCTTTGGCGGGCGCGGCGGGTGTTCGCATTGGCTACTGTCCGCAGCAGGACGCCCTGGACGAGCTCCTGACTGGCTGGGAACACCTGCACTATTATTGCTGCCTCCGTGGGATTCCCAAGCCGAGCATCCCTCAGGTAAGACTCCCCAGAGTCTTTCAGAAAAGTGTCCTGCTAAGAAATGCTTGGCCAACACCTCCGGTCCCAACAGAGCTCTCTGGCCCCTTGAGAAAGAACCACAGTGCCAGCTAAACGTACCTGAAAGATGTTTCCAATCTGATTACACGGAAGGAAATGCAGTAAATGTGTTAATGTTGCATTTAATTATGTATTTAAAGTAGATCTGAGTGCAGAAGTCACTTGGGGTTAAAGCTAAAAGTGTTTGCAACTTTGTCTCCTCTCCAAGTGCCTTTTGCATTTATTGGACTGTTACTTTTATTCAGGAGCAAACATCATAGACCCTCCCGCTGGTTCGCAGAGAAGGGCTCAGGCTGCCTGCGGAGTGGGGTGGGTTGTTGGAAGGAGGACTTCCCGGTGAGGGGGCTGACACCTGCCCACCTGGCTCCTTCCCTGCGTGGCCTCCGGAGGATGGAGAGGTGGCAGAGACCGCAGACCGCGCCCTTCCTCCGTCGCTGTGGGAGGATGGGGTGGGCACAGTCCTGAGAAAGCCAGAGAGCTGCCATTCTGCCTGTTATGAGCGGTGATCAGCCAAGCAGAGCTGACAGCCTTGACCGACAGCTCAGAGAACGTGCCAAGTGGCAGCCACTGGAATGGCAGGTGCTGGGGGTGCAGCTTTACCTTTTCTGCCCCTTGTAGAGATTCTGGAATGCTCTTTGCAGTTCTGGATCCTGAACAAGGATCAGAAATAAGTGGCTTACGTGGTACATTTTCAATGCAATTCTACAGGACAGGGAGCGTCCCAGAATTCACGGGAGACAAAACTAACAGCCACTCTTTCACTGGCCCATGAAAATTCATTCCGTGTGCTATTGTGTAATGCTTCTTCAGCCTCCATTTCTTATGGATGCTCTGTAACTTAAGTGCAAGTAAAGCAGAAACCCTCCTCGTCCTCGGAGGGCCCCGCTCCTGTCCCCCACCTCCCGTCTTCATCAAGCCAAGACAACCGTCCGCTTCTGGAGGTCTGCTCATCGTGGTTAAGCAGCTAGTGAAACCCAACACTAATCAGGAGCTCTGTCCAAAGGTGTTTATCTCTGTCAGCTCCCTTGGCTCGTTTTTGATGAAAGAGGCAGATGCTTGGCAAATGCCATACTCTGGCCCCTTCGCTGGCCCTGGGGGAAATGCACACTCGGAGAAGTTCCTGTTAATAGAGTAAGGCTCGGCATGTCCTGTTATCTGGGGTGATTGCCTCCTGATTCTTGGCGCTCTTATGGGCTCATTTTTCGGAGCTCCTCCACGGAGAAAAGTTATTTTCATGGTACCAGATTCGGAACTGGCCTCACTTCCTGCATGAAACTGCAACTGTTTGGCAGTCTGCCTTGCTACTTGCTCGGAGCCTTCTGAGATGGCAGAACGTGTGTTCCCAGGGGAGTTAGTTCCCTTATGGCCAGGGTCCCTCTCCCATCCATTTTAGAAATATGGGAAATAGCAGGCATATCCGTTCTAATGTGCTTATCACTGGGTGTCCAGAAGGGATTATTACAAAGCAACAGAAAACAATACTTTTAGCCAACATTTCAGTATTTGTTCTGGGCTAGGCGCTATTCTAAGTATTTTACAGCAACATAGGAGGTCGATAAGATGCTTATTCCCTACTTTACAAATGGGGAAGCTGAGACGCAGGTGGGATAGGAAACCTGCCTAAGCCCCATGGCTAGAAGGTGGAGGGGTTTTCTTTTGAAATCCGGTAAACCAGCTCGGGAGTAAGTGTTCTTGATGAATATGTGATCCGGATGCTGAGCTCCTCGTTGAGTACCGTGGAACTTCTTGTGTCCCGAACAGCTCAGTCTTACTTTCTGTGCCCCTTTGGTGGCTAAGGGAGTGGAAAATTCATGGAGTTATCTTGTGGTCCCTCAGCCCGGGGGTCCCTTCCCACACCTTTTTCAGGGCTGGAGCCGTCCCAGGTGAGCCGGGACAGCTTTGGTTCAGATCATGCTTACAAAAGTCCTACTAAATGTGGATCATGATTACCACTGTGGATATAAGGATGAGTGAATCCTAAACTCTTGCCTTAAGTGTCGAACAACTGAGAACTTTATGGGAGAAAAACACCTAATGGCAGAGAGAGATTCCTTAAGCAGAACACATTTGGGGGTTGGTACAGCATTTTGCTGACCATTGCTAGGGCTCACATTTGCTGTAATGTTGACAGGAGTCCTGAGTGCAGGAGAACTGCAAGAACGTACTTATCAGGCTATTTTCTGTGCTTTTCTGAAAATAGGACCTTCAGGAGGCATGGGATCAAACCAGTGCATTTGTTCCTATGTGTTCTGGACTCTTTCCCATGGCCATCCAACCCAGGATGTGTAGGCTGCAACACTGACCTTTTTTTTTTCTTTATAAGATTTTATTTATTTATTAGAGAGAGAGAGCACGCACATAAGCAGGGGCAGGGACAGAGGGAGAGGGAGAAGCAGACTCTGCTGAGCAGGGAGCCTGACTCGGGGCTTGATCCCAGGACCCTGAGATCATGACCTGAGCCGGAGACAGACGCTTAACTGACTGAGCCACCCAGGCGCCCCAACACTGACCTTTTGTGGAACTGGGAAAAGGTGACCTATGTTTCCTGGTTCCATGAACATCAGTATTCATAATTTGGTGAGTTTATTCTGAAGTTCTCTGCGTCCCTTTGACTTACACTCTCTGATAACTAGGCCAGTTCTCGAGATTCTTAATTCTTCCTGTGTTATTTTGAGGAGGCGCAAATAAAGCTTTAGAGCGCTTTCTGTCGGGGGTTTTTCTTGGGAGGCATAAATATCATGCCAGTATTTTCAGATGTTCTTGATACTTCATCATTGCCATTATTATTAGGCTTATCCCAACTTGTATGCTTTTATCCAAAAAAGCATGAACAGTAGTCCATATATTTTATTTAAATATATTTTTTATTTCGTTATTTTATTTTTAAAATGTCTTCCATTTATCTTACATTTTACTTGTCCTTCAGGACAGAGAGTCTTCCCCGCCTCTCCTAGATTTGAATTAAGATACGATTGCAGCCAGTCTGATTATATGACGATGTCTAAACAAACTGACAAAACCAAACTTCGGCGATGTCTCTGCGGTCGCAAGAGTCACGGAGAACGCATTTGTTGAAGTTTTTTTTTTTTTTTTTTTTAAATAAATGC